ATATTATCTCTACATCACCTTTTATTTATTATAGACCTATTATACATGTATATAAAATTGTGATTTACATGTGTGCACTTCGTTGACTAATTAGTATGATAACTTGTTAATCTTTTTTTCAAAGCACAGTGACTATAAAAAATCAGATCATCTTATCTGAAGTTGATGCATAATAGAGAGTAGGTTACTGTGGGTTTAAAAGTCAGCTCCCATATAAAAGTAGTTCAATGTGACCTTTATTTATTGTTTATGACTGGTTAAACTAAAATGTTTATATGGCAGTGTCTGTAGAAGGTCATCTGCAAATTTGTAACAGTATATAACATTTCTTTTATTTTCCATTTAATATCCATATATAATCAATCATATAATTTATCCAGCTACTGCTGTTAATGACTAAGTAGTTATATTTTGTTTTCATGTTGATTTTTGTTGAGGTGTGTATGCTTTATTATGTAGATTTTGTTATGACATGTCTTTTTCTGCAAAATATGCAAGTCGTGCAAAAATTGTTTTCCTGAAATATTGCATTTGTGTAACAAAAAGCATAAAGAATAGAAAAAATATTTTTTTGTATGTATAGAATAAAATAAAATATACTTAGTTCAAATCACATATATACCATAATTAAAAAAAAACACTTTTACGTAACAACTCATGTATTGTTAGAACTAAAGATTTCATAAAATGCTCTTTTACCATTATGATTTTCTTCCAAAAAATAATACATTAATAAATGTAAATAAATCAATCAGTGCATAAAAATCATCTGTAGATCTAATTAAATTAAGCATATGTTTGGTTTTTTTTATATTTCAACAGCGTCATATCTTGGTTGTATTCTTTGTGATCATCTCTATAAAAAATAAATGAAATAGTTTGATAATATTTTAAGATATGTACTAACACATGTGTTCTGGATCAAATGATTATTGTATTATGTTATTTTTCTTTTTTTTTAATTGAGAATGGCCAACAACATACATGCAATGAGCCTTTTACTCATATACTGTAACTAAAAGATGATGAAAAAGATACTGGTCGTGGACCAGTTACCGCCAGAAATTAACAGTTTTTGTCAAATAGTTATTAACAGGAACTCTTTGGGAAATTATCCTTTTAACATATAAAAGTTTAACAAAAGTTAGGTCTTTCACGATAGACTAGGATTTCAATTCCTCTTTTTTGTGTAGCAAAAAGAGAAGAAGGTATGTCAATTGAACCAAACACATCGCCAGTCTGACCATGAATTTGGTCCAATTTGAAAGGTCTCCTTCTTGCTCTTAATAAAGGCAACAGTAGTATACCGCTGTTCAACAGTCATAAATCGATAAAGCGAATACAAATCCGGGTCACAAACCAAAACCAGGGAAACACATCAACTATAAGAGGAAAACAATGGAATAACAGAAACATTGAACCACAACAAAAACAAACGCCAACATACATAGATACTGACTTTTTGATAACAACTGCCATATTCCTGACTTGGTACAGGACATTTTAAGAAACAAATGGCGGGGATGAACCTGATTTTATGGCTTGCCAAACCGCCCGCTTATATGGCAATGTAAAATACCGCTAAAATGACAACATAACGTCACAGGAATCCAGTACAAATAAACGCAAGAACACTCAGGACAGAAAAATACATTAATAAATAATATAATAGATCATTTCACATGTTACCACATGTAAACCACAGAATATCAACAGACACCTCCCATGAACTTACGACGGTACACCAGGACACCACAATATAATTATAAACTATGCGTCACACGAATGTATCAACGCCACAAATAGTGTGTACTTTTTTGTGACGCTTATTTTATCACAGGTAAATTTCTAAAAATAGAATATAATATTGGGATTGAGTTTGTACTTGTGTTATTTAATGTATTTTCGAACCATGACAAGAATATTAAAATGGAATTGTGTTTGTAATGGTGTAATTATTTGTATATTCTAGCCACGTCTATTTTTCTTCTAAATCAAAACTGTGTATAAACAAAAAAATCCTGTGCATATAGTTGCTTTAAACTAAAAACCATATAAATGAAATAGCTTATTAACTATCTTAACTTTTACATACATAGAGAAAATAAAAATAGAATTCAAACCACAAACGATGATAAAACAAAATATCAAGCTTTTTAAAAGATTGTTGTAAATTAATAGAATATAAATAGCTGTTCTTAAAAAGCAGAAAAAAATGATAGGTTCGTGTCCTTGTTTTTTGAGATATAATCAATTGAAAATTTGGCGGGAAATGATTCTCTTTAGATTTTTCATACATTTATGATTGATACCTATTTTCTTTCAACAACTTTAAAAGCCAAATTCCGTGATCAATCACTTAAGGTGGCTCGGGTGTCTTCCCCCATCTTGTATTTTGAAATAGCAGATAACAATTGGTCTACATCTTTAATGAAATCTACAAATTTCGAGAGTAGTATGTAATCTATGTGTAAGACTATTCATATTAATATAGAAAATCATGTGTTTTATCATATTTACGGCTGTATTTTACAAAAAACAGAATATTTTTGTTTTATAAATATGTTTTTTTCAAATTTGCCAGATAAGGGGAAATAACTCAGATATATGGGGAGATAACTCAGATAAGGTAACTTTAATAATAAAATGTGTTTCGAATTTACCTTTTTGATTATGTAGCAAGAAAACGAGTCCAGTGACCCCATTTTTTTTTTTCCTTTTCTTATCTAAAGCATATTATTAGAGCTATCTTTTCATATTTTATCTTTAAATTCTATGGTGTAGTTTTCATCACACAAAATTGGATTTTTCCATGCATAATCTTTACACAATTGGACAATTTTGCACAACCTGTAGCGTGAAAAAAAGCCCAGTGACCCATACTTTTTATTATATTTTTGAAAAAAACATGATATAAACTACATTTTGACAAATTATTAAAAAATTCAATGGATTTTAACTTAGACCCCCAGACACCTTTAGTTATTAGCCAACTTCTGTGATCGTTATTTAAGTGATTAGCCAAATTCTGTGATCAATCACTTAAGTTAAAAGCCAAATTCTGTGATCAATCACTTAAGTTATAAACCAAATTCTGTGATCAATCACTTAAGTTATAATTCAACTTCTGTCATCGTTACTTAAGTGATTAGCCAAATTCTGTGACCAGTCATTTAAGTTAAAAGCCAAATTCCGTGATCAATAACTTAAGTTAAAAGCCAACTTCTGTGATCAGTCACTTAAATGATTAGCCATATTCCATGATAAGTTACATTCAATAACAAGCATTCTGAGAGTATTGCATGGCAATACAGTCCCCTACCAGTTAAAAATTCATTGTACTGGAACAAAATGATTACTTGGTTTATAACTTGTCATTGTGTTATGTATATAACAAATATTAAGTCAATATCTTCAAGCATGATGAAAAAAGTGTGGAAAACTGATAATTTAAGTGAATTTTCTATGTCCAAGGACCACAACTCTGCATAAAATCATCAGACCTGTACAAAATTCGAACTTGATATGTAACTTGTCATGATAAAATTATATAAAATCAATATCTTCAAGCATGACGAAAAAAATTCAGGAAAACTGATTATTTGAGTGAACTTTCTAAGTCCAAGGACCATAACTCTGCACAAAATCATCAGACCAGAACAAAATTCGAACTTGATCTGTAACTAGTCATGATAAAACAATACACCAAATATCAAATCAAAATCTTCAAGGACGAAGAAAAAAAGTGTGGAAAAATGATTTGCCCGACTGACGGATGGACAGACAGACAGACAGACGACGGATGGACAGACAGACAAACAGACAGACGGACGGAGTGCAAATCCTAAAGTTCCCTTCGACTTCGTCAGTAGGGGACTAATAACTCTGCACAAATTCATAAGACCGGAACAAAATTTGAACTTCATCCGTAACTTGTCATGATAAAACTATATACCAATTATCAAATCAATCTCTTGAAGCATGACGAAAAAACAGTGCACAAAACTGATTATTTGAGTGAATTTTCTAAGTCAAAGGACCATAACTCTGCACAAAATCATCAGAACAGAACAAAATTCGAACTTGATCTGTAACTTGTCATGATAAAACGATACACTAAATGTCAAATCAATATCTTCAAGTATGAAGAAAAAATTGTGGAAAAATGATTTGCTGAACTGACGGATGGACAGCTGGACAGACAGACAGAAACCTAAAGTCCCCTTTGACTTCATCGGTAGAGGACAAATAAGTCACATCCAGTGAGCAAAGTTTTCATTTTGAAATTGGACCTAATTGTGAAACCTATTCTTTTCAAATGACATTTTATTGCAAGGAAGAGAGAAAAAAATATGATTATTAGATACTAAAGTTTATTGTAACAATGTTTACAGTATCATGATTAAATCATTTATATTTAAGAATAATATTTACTTGACCTCAGGATCTTCATTAGTTATATCATTTTTGCTCAGTCATATATCTCCATTGATTATTTGATCAATAATTAGTTATTACAATTAAAATCATATAAATACAGTAGAACATCCATATGTCGAAGTCAAAGGGGTTTTGTACAAGTTTGGTCATGAAACTATGATAAGAAAATGTTTTTTTTTTCCTTGTCCTTCTGTTGGGAATGAACTATGGTACTGAACCACTGAAGATATTTAATTTGAGATTTTCATCATATGAACTTCAGAAAGCATAATCTACTGCAAATTCAAATTATGAAGAAAGTAGACATGTTGTATTCCACTAATAACAGAAGGGAACTTTTCTCCAATATGTGTTGCAGACTTTCAAGAATAAAAACCCTTGATCCAAAAGGATAAAAGGTGTCATTGCAATCTAAGCTACTAATAACGTGATATAGTGATTAATTTGTGACCAATCAAAGCATAAGAAAATGACTGCTTAAAGAGAGATGAAATTTAACCCACATAAAGATAAAATTTTCTTTTACCAACTGGCTGAATATTGTACAAAGCACACATCAATGGGAGAAATATTCATTTTTAATCAAGATCAACAAAAATCATAAATAAATTTCCATAGTCGACATCTTCAGTAATATTTTTCACATCATCAGCAACTTATTTTCAATAATATTGAATTTGTGATATTTGTTTAACATTATACAATAATTCTTTATACATTTTCATGAAAGACCTAACCAATCATTACTGGTAAAGTTTTCAATGAGATCACAACCAATTAATGATTGTTTTCATTAATTTTATACACAGGGAATAACAAGTTTCCCTTAAAATCAAGATCAACATAATCAAGGTCATTCATATGTGTTCAATTGATATCACAGATATATAAATAGATTTCTGGAGAATGAGCATCATCCATAAACAAGTTCTTTTTCCATATCTGAGCTTTGTTTACTGTACTGGTCGTTGTTAGAAACTAAAGATAGTTGTTGTTCACACCATCTGAAAAAATAAGTAATGAATCAATGTTTGGCTTTTTTCCAATTCTAAAATGTTACAAAAACAGTCCAAATATGTGAGTTCTTTGTTCAGATCTGATCTATGTTTGGTTGCATCATATGGAAAAATGACATGCTATTCTGTTTGGTCTCCTTTGTTTTTTTAAAGAATATCATGAATATGATGTATTTTCATAAACTCTATCAATAGCTTATAAAAGATATGTCTATTGTTTTTCATGTTTAATCATTACATGAATTTCATCATCACAATTGACGTTAGATTCTGTTAGCACTCAAAATATTTTTTGGTTTCAAATCATGTGAACATGCTAACAAGTCTTGCCTGCTTTTCTCATAATTATCACAATTCAGTTTTATGGCCATGTTTGGGATTTTTTTTAGTGATTTTCTCATTGATGAATATCCTAAACCTAATAAAAATTAAGGCCACAAAAAGCAAACTAATCTTTAGCTTTTTATGTATTTTTTTTAATTTCAGATGAGGAACACAGACACTTTTTCCTTCCATGAAATTACATGAAAATATCTGATGTTTGTACAATGAATGATTAATTCAATGAGTTGTTTAAAAAAAAATAAATTCAAGAGATGGAAATAATAAAGTACATGATGGATGGTCTTCGAAGCTAAATAGTTTTATTTCATTTTTTGTTTGCTGTATACCAAACAAACAGTACTGACATCATAAAATCACAGGTTTTCTTAGTTTCTGTGTCATATCATGAAGACATAATTATTACCTTTTACATGCATAAATATCAGCTGGTGACATTCCACAGCTCGCTGTATGTTCAATCATTAATGTTCCTGAAATTAACATAGAAATGGTCAATCATGAATCAGTTTGTTAAAATTTCTGACCAGTTGAACAGTTTGGTTTGATCAAAACAAATTGCAATTTGGTCAGAGTTTTGAATAAACTGCAATAGGTGTAGAGCAACTCATAAAGTCAAGTCACAGTAACAAAATAATTTTAAAACCTGAACAAATTGTTTTAAAGGACTTCATGACTTTAGTTACATAGTATGTTTATGTCACAAAAGTAACTACACTGAGATGAAATATTAATTTAGTCATTTGAATGAAAAGTATTGCATCTAAATTGCATTTCTGCATTAAACTTTCCTAATTTTAGCAATTTTTTGAATTACTCATTTGCAGTTGTTTGGTATCCAAAATGTAGAAAAACTCACATTTTACATTCAATATTCTAAACAAAATTAAAGAACCTTAGTGAGCGCGCTCACGTACCCCACGTCCCCACATTGTCATTGGAGAAATAAAATATGTGTAAGAAAAAAAAATTGTATAAGAAAAAAAAATTGAATCATAATTTTCTGTCAATATGCACATGTACATAGTATGTCCTTATTATCTACAAAGTTTCATGAAATTATGTTGTGTGGTTTCAGAGGAGTTGCAATGACAAACTGTTGCAGAAGTACATTGATGCAAATAAGTGCAAAGGGGCGATACGTAACGCCTAGAAAAAAAATTGAATTATAATTTCCTGTCGATATGCACATCTACATAGTATGTCCTTATTATCTACAAAATTTCATGAAATTCTGTTGTGTGGTTTCAGAGGAGTTGCGATGACAAACTGTTGCAGTAGTACATTGAAGCAAATAAGTTCAAAGGGGCGTAACTCCTAGAAAAAAAATTGAACCGTAATTTCCTGTCGATATGCACATCTACATAGTATGTCCTTATTATCTAAAAAGGTTTCATGAAATTATGTTGTGTGGTATCAGAGGAGTTGCGATGACAAACTGTTGCAGTAGTACATTGAAGCAAATAAGTTCAAAGGGGCGTAACTCCTAGAAAAAAAATTGAACCTTAATTTCCTGTCGATATGCACATCTACATAGTATGTCCTTATTATCTAAAAAGGTTTCATGAAATTCTGTTGTGTGGTATCAGAGGAGTTGCGATGACAAACTGTTGCAGTAGTACATTGAAGCAAATAAGTTCAAAGGGGCGTAACTCCTAGAAAAAAAATTGAACCGTAATTTCCTGTCGATATGCACATCTACATAGTATGTCCTTATTATCTAAAAAGGTTTCATGAAATTCTGGTGTGTGGTATCAGAGGAGTTGCGATGACAAACTGTTGCAATAGTACATTGAAGCAAATAAGTTCAAAGGGGCGTAACTCCTAGAAAAAAAATTGAACCGTAATTTCCTGTCGATATGCACAACTACATAGTATGTCCTTATTATCTAAAAAGGTTTCGTGAAATTCTGTTGTGTGGTTTGAGAGGAGTTGCGATGACAAGAAACAGGACTGACGGACTGACGGACTGACGGACGGACAGACGGACGGACGGACAGACGGGTCAAAAACATTATACCCTCCGCAACTCGTTGCGTGGGGTATAATAAGACATTATTTCAATATTTCTGCATTTAAAAGTTACTGGGATAAGTTCTTTGTAAACTTGACAATAAACAAGATATTTCAGATTATATATAAACTTACCCATGTATATTCTTGACAAACTATATGACAAATCTCTGGCAGCAAAAGTCAAAACATCCAAATTTTTCTGATTTTTTGTAACAAAATGCAATACTGATTTCAATGCCATTTGTAACTTCTCTGCTTCTTTTGATAACTCTGAAGGTGTAGTGGATAGTTTGTTGTCAACGTCATTTTTTAAAGATATCAATGCCTGACCGTTTGATTTACTGATACATCGTAACACATCTAATGACAGGATATTTGTTGTTCCTTCCCATATAGTTAACACCTGTGTAAATGTAAAGGGCATATATAATAACGTGACACATCTAAAGACAGGATATTTTTTATTCCTAAATAAAAAGGATACAATTTGTAGTAGTAATTTAACTCATCATAGATACCGGGATTAAAATATTGAAGGCCACAGACACATGTTTAGTTGACAAAAGATTCATCAGTGAGGCTGGAATCAAAAAAGTTAAAAATAAAGTATGAACTTGAAGCGCAATATAAATGCATTTTACCTTATAATAGCAATTTTTTATTTGCACGTTGTTAATGTCAAACAAAATTTAAAAGGATTTTTCAGATATTTTCCTCTTAATGATTTCAGGATTTTGAAATTAAAATTCATGTCTGTTGGGTGTTCAGTCAATTTTTAGACAACTGAATGTTTATTGTTTATCCTATGTAGGTAACAGTTACTTAAAAACTCTTGAAAGTGCACTGATTATAAAAAAGAAGATGTGGTATGATTGCCAATGAGACAACTCTCCACAAGAGACCAAATGACACAGAAATTAACAACTATAGGCATTGAGCATATCAATTGACTACAGACAAAGTTTCACAACAGTACAGAATACACTGTGATCAAATCTCTAAAAACTGACTAAAAGACTTAACATATCAAAATTTATCGTTTGGTCTTTTATTATCTGTTCTTTTCAAAACGACCATTTTATTTCTAGGTATATAAAGTATTTGATGCAAGGAAATAAATCAACAAACTTCTTACCTGAGCGTCTCTAAGAAAATTCGGTAACCCAGTCTCCTCTATGTAACCTTGACCTCCAAAACTTTCCAAACCTTCTGAACTTACTGACATAGCCTAAAACAAATAAGTCAAAATAATTTATTCAAAATTGCTGCATGTTCGACAATGATTGTCTTGATATGGGGGTTTAAGGTGCATTTATCAACAGCTGAGATATATTTAAAATAGCACTGTTGAATAGATGACTGACCTTTATTCTGGTAACAAGATATGAAAATAGTACATTTATTTATATAGCAAATTACCTGTGTTAAATGGCAAGTAGTTAAACTAAAAACAATACTAATGCTTTTGCATAGTAAATATTTTAAAACAAATATAACATCAATTTTGAGGGATTTGTCCATTTGAAAAATTGGTATTTGCTACTTCTTCACTAAGCATGCAGCATTAAGAAGTAAGAGACTGGTCGGTCTCTAGTCAGAATAATGTGTCCAGGTAGAGTGACATTAATTTTTCTGTGGACTGTTAACTTGTGAACTAGCACATTAAAATTCTGGCTCAGTGTGTTAGTCTTGTACAATAAACTCATCATAGGTACTAAGAATAAAATTTTGTATGCCAGATGATTGTTTTGTATCAAAAGACTCATCAGTGATGCTCGAAACAAATGGAGAATGTGTCACTTTGGGCCAGGTGAGCTAAAAATTAATGCAGGATAACTTACCTTTCTTTTTAGTGTAAAGCAGACAGACTTCCCATTACAATAGTACTATTGTCAGCTGATCATAGCACTTTCAAAAATACCAAAATAAACTCAAAACAAGAAATAACTATGAAATAAGACTGGTGGGAGTTTCATAGATGCATCTACATACAAAAAAAGGGGAATCTGTCAATGGGACACAGATGATGCCCCAGCTTGCATATCATATAAAGTTATATAAAGGCATAACTGAAGAACGGTAAAAGTGACGCTACCCAAGTTTGTACTTGATTTGAGTTTTGTGGTAATAAATATTGTGTATAAGTTTCATAACATTTGGTTGAGGCAAACTTAAGTTAGAGAATGGAAACGAAAAATTCAGCAATTTTCCCATTTGTAAAGGGGCATAACTCTAGAACAGTAAAAGTGACACCACCAAAATTCAAACTTGATCTATATTTTGTGGGAATAAGCATTGTGTATAAGTATCATAATATTTGGTTGAGGCTAATTTAAGTTAGAGAATGGAAACGAAAAAGTCAGCAATTTTTCCATTTGTAAAGGGGCATAACTCTAGAATGCTTAAAGTGACACCACCAAAATTCAAACTTGATCTGTATTTTGTGGTAATAAGAATTGTGTATAAGTTTCATAACATTTGGTTGAGGCTAACTTAAGTTAGAGAACAGAAATGATATATTCAACAATTTTTCCATTTGTAAAGGAGCATAACTCTAGAACGATTAAAGTGATGCCACCAAAATTTAAACTTGATCTGTGTTTTGTGGTAATAAGAATTGTGTATAAGTTTCATAACATTTGGTTGAGGCAAACTAAAGTTAAAGAACGGAAACGAAAAATTCAGCAATTTTTCCATTTGTAAAGGGGCATAAATCTAGAACTGTTAAGGTGACGCCACCAAAATTCAAACTTGATCTGTCACTGTGTTTTGTGATAATAAACATTCTGTATAAGTTTCATAACATTTGGTTGAGGCAAACTAAAGTTAGAGAACGGAAACCAACTTTGGGACATAAGGACGGACAAGGGTAAACTTTAGAAACGATCCTGGTAAACTTATCGATCCTATGAATAAACTTATTCTAAAAGGTTACCAATTCAACACTGTATTTAGATCATTAAATATTGTTTTTATCGGTACTGATATTGATTTTGTTATCAGTAAATTAAAAGCAAACTAAATATTATTGTTATATACATATACACATTCATGGATCTACAATCTGTCGATACCTGTATCTTGGCATTGCACAGGGTCATGTTTTTCTCTGACTGTTTATGACGTCTTTACACTAAATCCATTAGATGTTGGATGAGTACGGATTGATAATTTACTCTTAGATGCATGAATTTTTTTTATTAGTTGTTAGTGGCTTTGAACTAGCTGTCAGTAACTGCGAGTACTCTTAGATCTGTACCTTGTGTCTTTTTGTTGTTTGGATGTACAAGTACCCGGCCATGTCCACTTGTAATTGTAGTATTTGTATTTTTATCCATCTGATGAGTTAAGCCTCTTTCAACTGATTTTTATAGTTCGTTCTAACGTTGTACTGTTACACCACTGTCCCAGGTTAGGAGGAGGGTTGGGATCCAGCTAACATGTTCAACCCCGCCACATTCTATATGTGCCTGTCCCAAGTCAGGAGCCTGTAATTGAGTGGTTGTTGCTGTTGATCATATGCATAATTTGTTAATTGTTTTGTACAGTTGTTGTAGTGTTTTGTTGCACCACTGACCCAGGATTAGGGGGAGGGTTGTGATCCCGCTAACATGTTTAACCCCGCCACATTCTGTACGTATGTGCCTGTCCCAAGTCAGGAGCCTGTAATTCAGTGGTTATCGTTTGTTTGTGTGTTACATATTTGTTTTTCGTTCATTTTTTGTACATAAATTAGGCCGTTAGTTTTCTCGTTTGAATTGTTTTACATTGTCATTTCGGGGCCTTTTATAGATGACTGTTTATAGATAAATACAATAATGGTAAGGCAGTCAAAATTTCAATATTTAAAGGGATGTCATTTCCATTTCAATATCATGATAGTGATGAATTCTTGATTGATGAATGATGACATAGATCTTAATGTGTTAGGTTTACACATAGATATAGGAAGATGTGGTATGAGTGCCAATGAGACAACTATCCATCCAAGTTACAATTTATAAAAGTAAACCATTATAGGTCAAGGTACGGCCTTCAACACGGAGCATTGGCGCACACCGAACAGCAAGCTATAAAGGGCCCCAAAAAATTAATAGTGTAAAACCATTCAAACGGAAAAACCAACGGTCTAATCTATATAAAAACGAGAAACGAGAAACACGTATGAACTACATAAACAGACGACAACAACTGTAATCAGATTCCTGACTTAGGACAGGTGCAAACATTTGCAGCGGGATTAAATGTTTTAATGGTATCAAACCTTCTTCCTTTTCTGAAACAATAGTATAACATCACAACATAGATAATCGCACTATAAAATATCAATTGGAAGGCTTAACTCAATCAAAAAACGTAAATTAACACACAATGATGGAATAAATTTGACCTGTGACACCTGAATGCAAATACACAGTCAAAAGTAAATAAACAGGTTTAAACAAAGTTAAAGTATGATATCACTGTGAAATTTCATCACATACCTGTTTACCTGTGTATAACTTGATAGGGATGAATGATGACATAGATCTTAATGTGTTAGGTTTACACATACCTGTTTACCTGTGTATAACTTGATAGGGATGATTGATGACATAGATCTTAATGTGTTAGGTTTAACTGAAACTTACCTGTTTACCTGTGTATAACTTGATGAGAGGAGTGAGCAATCTTAGTAAGTGTAATTCATCTTCAGTAGCATTTCCACTCTCTTGCTTACTTAATAGCGACACTGCATGGAAAACAAACAAGGTGGCAGCTCTCACTTCAGTCTGTGAATATCAAAATGTAGATCTATTTTACACTTTCAGTCAACTGCTTATCATTCAAATCAATGTTATAGAGAGAAAGAAAAGATTGTTCTTGGTGAAGGAATGAAAGATTGGATGCAAAAATAATATATAAAACTTTCAATTCATTTTTTTTCATTCTTTATTTTTTATTTTATTTTTTTTTTGATAATAGGAAAAATATATGATTTTTCTCATGCGAACTTCTAGATTCACTACAAGATTTAAAGTTTAACAAACTGTTCAAACACCTGTCTACTGTTGGAGAATAAAAGTTGACTCTTGTTTTTTCTTGTTTTTTCATTGATATAAATTTCATGTCTCCTTTCACAGGTTGTATACAGACTTTTGTAAAACCACAAAATCAAATATCCACCAATATACATTTTTCCTCAATCCACAAAGATTTTTACCCATGAATATAAATGAATCCACAGTAGTTACCTCTAATCTGGCCAGTGTCTGCACATGAAGAGGATAATTGTACAGCTGGTTACCAAAAGCTTCTCTCTTTAAACTGTAGTCTTTCGATAAAATTAATAACCTGAAAATATACCTCTTTATAAACAGTAGCTCACTTGTCTTATAACTACCTTGGTGAGAATGTTAAGCTCTAAATAAAAAGTTTACTGTTGGACAGGTCTAAGACACAAGCACCCTGGAAAAAAGTCCTCCATGCACCCTGATAGTGATAAAAGCCCCACAGACAAATACCCCATACTTTGAATGGGTTTTTTTATACTGGTCTGTTTTCTGCGGGCCTTTTGTCCTGCTCCTGTTTTTGGACAATTTCAAGTTATTTGACTTTGAGGCTTTAATCAACAAATGAACATGAGTATTTCTATATCAAATATCAATAATTCATAAATCTTAAAGTTTGTGATCTTGGGTCTAAACTCCTATTTTAAGACAATGTTTAAGCCAAAATATAGGTCTGCATGCAAAAAATAAAAGAATCCATTGAATTTTAGATATTTCAATATGGTAAATTAACTTTCTCCTCCCATCTATCTTTTCAAAAGTCCTTCAAATTGCCTGGCCTGCCTGTATAAACTTCAGAAATTATTGTGATGTTTTTATTAATGCAAAAAATGTGACAGTATCAGGTTCACGATAATAAAATCATGGCTATAGCATGAATAAGATTTCACATTTTTTTTAGTAGTCAAGGAATCGCAATAATAAATGCATGCATTAATTTCTGAATTAACAGTATATTACCTCATCAAAAGGCATGCTCCTATTACAAAAAAGTTGCAAAAATGAATAAAAATGAATAGACTTTAATAAGATGGCTCCTTGGTTTGGTAAACAGGTGAGCTGAAATAAATTTAAACTCACTTTCTCATACTTGAACAAGCAGCCACAGCATTGTGTATTCTTGTCAATGTTAACATACTGGAAATTCCTGCCACACCTTTGCCTAGGTCTGAAACCTAAAAAGTTCAAATATCCATGAACAAGCAGGAATGTCGTAAAGTTTTATAACCTATAAATGAAGTGGAACATTAAAATCAATAAGTGCTGCGCTAAGAGTGTATGATACACTCATCTTGTGCATTTTGGAATTGTTGCAAGATTAAAATGGAATATTATGTTTAAAGGCTATCCACTGATTTATTTTTCAAAAAAGGTGCCATGGACACATTGAAATGTCCCATCCAATTAACTGGTTAGTAGTTAATGATGATGATGATGAATTGCTTCTAAACGTCCTGCGGCAAATCAATATGCATTATTCAGGACGAGAATTGGCATAACTTACAATGAAAAAGTGGGGTAATTGATATGTAAAAATAGAAATTTCAGATTGTATGCAATTTGGATTTTTTAGCACTTCTTAAGACTGAATGAAGCTTTATAAATCAGTTAGCTACAGTAACCTCCAGACAATTACCATATCTATATCTCACTTTAATCATCCTCAATAAGCATGAAATAATTGCCACTGAATGTTAAGCCAGCAACAGTCAATCAAACTCAATTAGAAGAATTTTACTATTTTTGAAACTTCAGTCAAAAATCAATGGCACTTTTCATTTCGCTTTTTTAAATTACTGCTACAGTGTCATGATAATTTGTATTATTTGGCAAATCAAGTTATAAGTTAATCTAATTTGATGATTTTTTACAAAATAATGATACAATTTCCCAGCAATCCATTCATATGATTACTTTATAAATTGATAATAAAATTTTCAAAGCTTTGAATTCAATTTCTAATCATGCTTATGGCTTAAAATTATACTGTATTAAACCAAATATTTGTTTTGCAAGCAATTCATGTATGTAACTTTCACACTATAAAATTAATGCGAATTAAAAATCCTTGCAATGCATCAAACTTGGATCTTCTCTGGTATCTATACATCATAGCACAAAAAAATAAATCCCTACAAAGTTGGTTGGAAAAGGATAAAGGTGGAAAAAAATATCTGAAAACATAGATTGGTATACAGTACATAGCATGTAGGAAGGTAATTATTTCTGTTACCAGGAATGCCTGAAAAGGAAGCCAGGAAAAAATGTTAAACAAATATTTCATAATTTATTATTATAAAAATGGCTTTTTAAAACATTCAGCTGTCTGTCTTTCCACCTGTACAAAAAATTAACAATGTTTTAAATCTTACATACTAATAACTTAGGAGAAAAATACTGAATATACAGTGTATCAACATGTTAATACCTGTCCCATCTGACTCCAGTCATTATAATCAGTTTGAAATCTATGTTGTAGGAGTTTCTTCTTAATTTCTTCCTGAATTGTTTGGTGGACCGAAGTGGACACAAACATAAGAGTACTAGGACTATTAAGGATCTTGGAAGAGTATATCAATATAGAATTTTAATTTTATGCCATTTTTTTCTGATTATTAGCTTGAATTCATGCATATTACACCAAGTATGAAAATACCATTGATTGTTTAATGTCTTATTACAATAAAATGCTAACTTTTACCACTCTTTCCAAAAGTGAGACAGATCATTTTTTTATATCAACAATTGATGGAAAATAACAGCTTTTTATATTTTTGAAATGGTGTTTTCTATCTTTTTTAAACTTTTCGTTTTAATTTCTTTGTAATTGTTTTATAATAAAACAAGCCTGCCTTCAAATGATCTAAAGAACTTCTGCAACGTCATAACCAACAATTTATAAAAAATTATAATATTATTTATCTCCTGTCGTGAGAACAAGAGGAATTGAGTTGATTTTTAATCTGATAATGATACTATCAAACTGGTGAATATACAAAATTAAGGTTGACCATTTTTCAAATAAACTCACTTTCTCATATTAGAGATAGCCATGAATGCAGTATGTATCCTAGATATTGTTAACATATTGGAAATCTCTGCAACACCTCTTCCTAACTCTGACACCTAAAATATTAATATATTGTGGAGGAAAACAGCAACAGAGATCAGTATTGATTATAGGAGGGGGTTTAGGGAAGGACTTATAATAACAATGTTTGACCTCATACTTAAATCTACTCTTCTCCCCTACAAGTTATAAAGAACTTTAAGCAACTTTTTCCACAAATATGATTCTATTTATATCTCATATCTGACTCAAAATCAAATTTCTAGAAAAACTGTATTTCAAACATGCTTTTAGTTTGAGTATAGACAAGATATTCAAAGCTTAAACTGGCCCCTCCATCCTATTAACTAAAATATTTAACTTAAACTAATTAAGTACTTTGGATTCATTTATTTTCGTGGGTACCAATTTTCATGGACTGAAGAACATTTGTATTTTAGTGGATATTTGATTTCATTGTTTTGGCAAAGTTTGCTACAAGCTTATAGAAAATGTGTACTTCGTTGAACATTTAATTCCCTGGTTCACCTTTACCGTTGAAATCCATGAAAATTAGTATCCAATGAACCACGAATAATCAGTACATCATTTCAAAAATTAATTTACTGAATTTTACTGTAACAATATATCTTTATCTAAAGATGCAACAAACATGAGCTATGAACATCACAATTAAGATTAAATAGAATATTGTTTTAAGTCCCAAAAAATGCTTATTGAATGTTTTTTTTTTAACAACAAATATTTTCAATCTCAATTCAGAAAAATATAACCCCCTATTCAAAAATTATTTACTAGCTTTTGTCTCCCCCTGAAACAGGGGGCAATAAGTTTACGACGATGAAAAAAAAATAATCTGAATAGAATACTACTAGTTGGACAGCAGACATGTGGAAATGAATAAAATAGCCAGACAAAGACTATATCATTGTTTACATTCTTCTTATTCCTAATAAGTGAATATTTTCCAGGCTGGGATGTTATTTTCTTTCGATATCAGATTAATATGTGGTTTTAAAACATGTTTAAAGGTCAGAATTACGATGCTGGCTGGTTATTTATTTCATCTGGTAATTCCTTTCATTTAATGTTATGTTAACAAAATTAACCTGATGAAAAAAATTATGGAATTGAGGGATTATAATTACATCAGAAAATTTTTATGGTTTTTTTATGCCTTTTCTGTAAAACATAGTAACCCTTTGATTACAAAACTTTTCTCATCCTGCATAATATATCTTTAGATTTCGATGTTAGAAATGCAATGTTTATTTAAATCTATTGTAGATATGATTCTAATTTCCAGGGGTTAATTTCAGTGGGTTCTTGAAAGCTCAAATGCAGAATTTGAAGATAAAGCCCCTAATACTTTTCCAAATGGTTGTTAAAAATTGTGTAATTTTTATAAAAGGTAATATTTATTATACATTATAATTGTTTATAGAGGCAGACTTACTGAAAACCACATAATTTACAATCAAACCTTTAAAATTATAATGTGCAATATTATCATAATCTCTATCTACATGTTTTTAAATTTAAGGCAAAACTCCTGCCATAAGACATGCTTACTATAATTGCTGAAGTTCCATCTAATAATAACTCGGCTGTAGGTAGTTGTCGAGTCCCCAATTTGTCCTTCAATTTCATTATCTGAATGTTGTTCAAACTGCCATCATTTTTCCTGGTTTCCAAATAAAATAGTGATAGTCCTTTTGTTCCCTGTTAAAAAAGAAGCCTACATATTATATTGTATTACACAATTTACACAATAAATGTGCTATTATAAACAATTTTTCTTGCATGTAATCAAGTCTAATGCAAGGAGAGTTTGGTGCTAAATTGATCGTAACATTTGATGCATTGCAAAAATTGTAAATTTAAACATGGTTGTCTTATGTTATGCCTTAATGTTTTTTGTTATTTCAAATTGTTAAATTTATTCACAAATGTTTTTATCTTTAGACTACATAGAGCTTGACATAATGTAATGACTCTTGTCTCTTGTTCAAGACCACATTTTGAACCCTAGATGTCTTTTAGGTCTTTATGTCAATGGGTTGCTGTATCATTGGTGTATATCCCACATTTCTTTAATCATATTTAATTCATTATGAACTGCAATATAATTTTTTATTTTGTGCACAATTATGTCCAGCATTTTGTGGGGCAGAATATAAATTTTCATTCCTTCTTCAGCAATAATTATTTGTTTTCAGCTCTAACCAGACAGTCATATCAATTGCTAAAGTGTCCAGCCCCACTCTTCTCCCTAGAAATTTGAATGGTCATCCTCTTAATGTGCAATAATCATTTTAAACTTACTTCTGTGATATTGTTATGTTTATCAACTACACGGGCTAATGTGAAAGCCATATCTGAATCTGTAGCTGAAGAGAACCATTTATAACCATATAATCTGTAACTTCCATCATCCTGCTCCACAGCCACTGTTTCTGTACCACTAGCTGAAAAACAGAAAAAAAATTTTAATAGCTCTAATAAAGTGCTTCAGATGAAAAATCCAGAATTTGGTTACCATATTTGTTTCCTTGCTACATAAAAAATAGATATATTTGCAGAAAATCATTTTATAATACTAAATTATTACATTGGTTGCAATGAATTACCTTGATTTCCCAGTGAAATAAAAACCGATAATTTCACATGTGAAATAAACTGTCGTCCATGATGATGTCGCATCAAAGCAAATTGTGAATGCGTAGAAAAAGATATAGTTCCTTACATTTTCTACTTTAATTCCATTAAAAAGCCCATTGTCAATGTGATAAAAAGAATGACTAATCAAAGAATTCAAATATTGAAAAATATTCAACTGGTGACCGAACAACACTGATAATAACCTCAAACGCTACGCACATTCCTGAATTAATGTGTTGTTCGGTCACTCGTTGAATATTTTTCGATATTTGAATTCTTCGATTAGTTAATTCTATAATTATCTCCCTTTATAAAGTAAGATTTTAATTTTTCAATTTTTTGTGTTTATCAAGACTTTTATTAAATCATATGAATTTCTTCATTTAAATCATATGAATTTCTTCATTTAAAAGAAAAGTCCTTCAAATACATTGGATGAGTCAACGTTTTTTCAGTCCTGTTAAAATTCCCCTTAGTTTAATGCATTTCTAATGTTCTAATGTTGCAAATTTTGTATTAGTACATTTAATGAGTATTCTTCAGTAATTTATTCTGTGTAAACTAATACCTGTGTAAAAAGGCCAACTGGAATTTCAACACTAAGTATCTGAGATTTACTTGGTTTCCCTGTCTGCATTACTGTTGGATTGACTTACCTACATTGGATCCTCCTTTCTCTACAGTTGTCTTTCCTTACCTACATCAGATCCTCCTTTCTTTTCAGTCATCCACTGACCAGATGTCCAAAATTCTTTAGGATTTCTTGAAGTTAAGTTTTGAAAGGCTTTCAGTAATTGGCTGGTTGGATTTTCTATTCTCTACAAAAATATATCACAAGAGTGCACAAGCTTAAATGTCTTGCCTGCTTTACTGACCATTGATTTTATGTTGATAGTCCTAAATATAAAGCTTTACTACAAGTAACACATAAACTTAACATGATCCAAGAAAATGAGGTCAAAATCAGATAAACCTAATTGGAAATACATGTACACCTTACAATCATTCCATACACCAAATATACTTGACCTATTGATATAGTTTCTAAGAAACAAACTTAACCAGGAAAAATTAACATTGACCAATGAACCAAGAAAATAAGATCAAGGTCAGATGAACCATGCCAGACAGACATGTACACCTTACAATCAATCTATGCATTAAATATAGTTGACCTATTGCTTATAGTATCTAAGAAACAAACTTAACCATGAAAACTTAACATTGACCAATGAACCATGAAAATGAGGTCAAGGTCAGATGACTCCTGCCAGACAGACATATACACCTTACAATCATTCCATACACCAAATATAGTTGACCTATTGCTTATAATTCAAGAAAAATAGACCAAAACACAATAAACTGCTTCGCTGAGCGCAGCTGGATACGCCCGAAGAGGTCTAACCCTGAACAGTTGGGGCAAAAATGGACACAATATTCAAGCTTGATACAGGTCTGAATTTGGATTGTAATTAAATATTTGACATACATCTATTATAGGTTTCTGAATAAATGTAGTCAAAGAACTTGAAGTTGGTTATATGAATTGAATTTATATTCAATTAAAGATTTCTTGCTGTTGTGCAATACACTGTGCTGTTGCGCAATACTTAGTAAATCTGTTGTCAGACTATAAACAAATAAAAATTATAAAATTCTAAAGGGAGCTTACATCAATAGATATAAACAATTCAGCAAAGTTTCATACGAATTGCTGAAAGCATTTTTGAGTTTTTGTCTGAAAACTGGAAAATTCCCCCTTTTTTAATGAATAAACCCCATAATTCGGAAATGTAAAATCTAAAATTTATAAAATTCTAAAGGGAGCTTACATCAATAGATATCAACAATTCATCAAAGTTTCATGAGAACTGCTGAAAGCATTTTTGAGTTATTGTCCGAAAACTGGAAAATCCCCCCTTTTTTTTATGAATAAAACCCCATAACTCGGAAACGTAAAATCTAAAATATATAAAAATCCAAAGGGGGCTCATGTCATTAGATATAAACAATTAACCAAAATTTCTTGCAAGTTGGTGAAAGCATTCTTGAGTTATTGTCCTAAAACTGGAAAATCACCCTTTTTTTAATGAATAAAACCCCATAACTCGGAAACGTAAAATCTAAAATTTACAAAAAAAACGAAAGGGAGCTCACGTCAATACATATAAACAATTCACCAAAGTTTTAAGCAAATTGGTTAAAGCGGTTGACGACGGACAGACGGACAGACGGACGGACAGACGGACAGACAACGGTAAACCATAATACGTCCCGTAAACGGACGTATAAAAACTTAACACTGAGCAATGAATCGTGAAAATGAGGTCAAGGTCAAATAAAACCTGTCAGGCTGACATGTACATAAAATTACAAAAAATCTTAACTTTTTTTTCAAGTAGTCACTGAACCATGAAAATGAGGTCAAGGACAAAGTACATATGATAGACGGAAACTTCGTAACATGAGGCATCTACATAGAAAGTATGAAGCATCTAGGTCTTCCACCTTCTGAAATATAAAGCTTTTAAGTAGTTAGTTAACGCCGCCACGGCTGCCTGATCACTATCCCTATGTCGAGCTTTCTGCGACAAAAGTCGCAGGCTCAACAATAAATCATTATACAGAGAAAGCATAAAAAACATAAATCAAAATTAAGCAGATTTTGAACTGTTTTAGTGGACTTAAACACATGTCTCACTCCAGTAAAGAAAAGGAAAAACAACAAAACAACTTCCACATTCTAGTACATGGGAAGTCCTGGCTTATATAGACAATTATAGTAAATTGACTTGACATAACAATGATGAAAGGATGAGGCTTCGAAACAGGGAAAATGTGAGGCTCTGCTGATAATTTTCTCTGTTTTGAATGTAATCCTTATATCGTTGTTATGTCAAGTCAAAACACTATTATTGTCTTCATACTGCAATCTAAAATATTTTTTTACACATTTAGTGTTATTCTTATTTGTTTTCTAAATATTTTAAAAACTTCTATTAAAGGTTTATCCTTAAAAGATGTTTTTCACAGAGGAACATAATGACGAAATAAAATGTGATTTGTAGTAATCAGTGTGATTATAGAATAATAAAGACAATAAGCAATGAAAGTAATAATTTAAAGTTATCAACAAATACAAAGAAGAAAAATTGTTTGTTCATTAACTGTAAGAAGAATGAGATTATGTTGCTCCCTGCTTAATGGTGCGTTCATTTCATTATGAGTAAAATGGTGGTCAACTTATACACATGTCCCGGCGGTGGGCGTGGTTTACAGTAAAATACGGTCAATGATGGTACATTGCCTAAAGATATAGAAGTAACACTTTTTGTTTGCTCAAATAGAACGATTTTAGTGTAAAAGAAAATATACAGTTAATTTTTTTATATCTTTACTGTTTTCTATATATTTAAACATTTATAACATAAGGGAGAGGCATGACCCCCTCCCACCACAGGAGAAAAGTCTATGGTGCAAGAATATGTTCAACTTCAAAACTTAATGCTCGAATAGAAAGACTGCAGTATAAAAGAAAACATATGGTTTAAAACTGTTTGAATTTTGACTGTTTTCCATATATTTAAACAGATAACATTACCCCTCCCACCAAAAATCTATGGTGCAAGAACATGTTCAACTTGGAAAACTTGATGTATAAGTAAAAAGTACTTACCCTTATAATTGTTGCAGCGCCATCTGTCATAGCCAATGGACAACTATAAAGTCCAGAGGATGAGGCAAATATATATAGCTTTGACATCTGATGTAAACGCCTGAAATACAACTTACAATTATCATTGAATACAAGTGTTTCAACACACTTATAGGCAACTACAATGTACTAATAAAATGCTTCAAGGGACTCACTTAAGTTGAAGATTTGTGACATCATGGATAAACTATTATAGCTGTCTAAAAGTAAACTTCAGTGTTACTCTATTTTTTCATGTATTTATATATAATGTTAAATTCAAATAATTATAATTTCAAAATTTGATAGTATGTATTCTAAATTTTCATGATTGGCTTTGTCAAGTTTGTTGCTGATTTTAAGTTTACTGGCTACACCTCAGTATATTATTATTTGTATTTGCAACCATCAAATCATTAACTGATGGAGGCAAAATTTTAGACACAATACTTCTAATTCCATTCTAATGCAACTGTTAATGAACAATATGAATAATGGCATCAGAATTGACACCACAAAAATGTTTAATAAATTCATATCTTACCTCCATTCTTCTTTTGGGTTATCATATCCTAAAGAAATAAGACCTTCTTCTGCTGAAATGTTGTGCATTTTCTTCCATGCTTCACAGGTAACCAGTTGATCTATTCTGTTACCCCATGCATCAAACGTCTGTACATACGGTTTCTCTTTTTCACATTGAAAACTCAGGTCATCAATTTCTGATGAAATCCTCTCACTAAATCTGTATAGATCATCTTCAACTGTTTGGTAGTACTAAAAAATTATTAAATGTGTAATAGCATAACTATTTTCAGCAATTTCTGTATCCAGAATATTACAATCATATTTTCCTCAACAGGCATTTCTTTGATTCAAAAGTCATGAAAGTCAAATTCTGGTTTATCAAACATAATATTGATTTGCAATGACTTTCTTATCAGTTCCTTTTTTACCTTGCTTCCTAATAAATGGCAGATTAAATGGTCTAAGCATGCATAGGCATGATAGGATAGACAACACAGCAGAATACAGTATTTATTGGTCACAAATAACTACTAACAGACATCCTCAGGGTAAGGTCACATGTAACAGAAAGGTCACACAATAATTAAGATAAGTTACTAAAGTTGATACAAAATGTATATCCAAATGCACATTCAAACATTTTAACTGAAATCAAAAATTAAAAACAAGAATGTGTCCAAAGTACATGGATGCCCCACTCGCGCTATCATTTTCTATGTTCAGTGGACTGTGAAATTGGGGTAAAAACTCTAATTTGGCATTAAAATTAGAAAGATCATATCATAGGGAACATGTGTACTAAGTTTCAAGTTGATTGGACTTCAACTTCATCAAAAACTACCTCGACCAAAAACTTTAACCTGAAGTGGGACAGACGAACGGACACACGAACGAATGCACAGACCAGAAAACATAATGCCCCTACCACTATCGTAGGTGGGGCATAAAAAATCCTTGCATGAATAACATAAGTGAAATGGTATAGATCATGTCCAATATCTATCATATGTTTATTTCAACTTTGGTGAACACAAACAGGTAGAAGCAATGTTTACATTGAGAATGTTTAATGAATCAGTAAACAAATGGTTTACTTTTATCTTCATTTGTTTGTCATATAATTATGAAAGTTATCAGTTTGAAATGTGAATAGTGTATCTTATTTCTCTTATGTATGGATCTAATTATGATGAACAAAAAAGATACATAGAAGACTGTATTTGAATTTGACATATAGTACAAATATATTTAAACTATGCTCTAACATTCTAATGGAATAGTTATTTTTTATAATATTAGTTCCAAATGGATCATATTATAACAGTATTTGCTACCAACAGAATAAAGGGTATAGATTATTTCTTCCAACAGGAACAAATATTAACATGATAAAAGCATTGTTTATTAACAAAGTTTCCAGAGGAATTCCTGTGGAGATAATATATGATGACACTTTGGTGAGCTTTTCCCAAATATCTAAACACTACTACAATAAAAGGCCCTAAATACAAGGTTAGATTCAGCATATCAAAGAACCCCATATATATTAAGGCCCTAAAGGTTAGATTCAGCATATCAAAGAACCCAATATATCCATTTTTTGTTGAAATCAAACAAAGTTTAATTTTGGATCCCAATTTAGACCAACTTGAAAACTGGGCCCAAAAATCTAAAATCTAAATACACTTTTAGATTCAGCATATCAAGGAACACCAAGAATTCAATTTTTATTGAAATCAAACAAAAAAAAACTTTAATTTTGGAATCTTTGGACCTTAATGTGGACCAATTTGAAATGAATGAATCCGGATTCATATAGGGATTGGTTCGTTTTTAACAAAAGGCAGGAAATTATTATATTTCTAAATCAAGTTGCTTAGTAAGAAATATCTTTGTCTCCTTCGTTTATTTTTATACTAAATGATTTCGTATTTTATGTTTTAATGTCTAATTTATAAGAATACTTTCACGCATGTGCAGTACATAGTAAAGGAAGCACACCTGTTTGACGCGTGGAAATATTTCTGAACGTTTGGAATAAAGTTCTTTCTCTTTAATCGAAATTGTTGAAAGTTTTTGATGAAAAGTTATATCAAATATGACAAAACTCATTCATATGACAAAACTATGACAAACGAACTGCAAATTGTGATTGTTTGAGAAATATTGAAATTAAAATGTGAACTGTCCGTGGGGGAAAACACTTTGTTCAAATGACGAAACTATGATTAACGAAACTGCAAAATGTGGTTGTTTGAGAAATATGGAAATTGAAATGACGACTGGGGGATTTTACTGGGAAAAATAATTATGATGGTCAATAATTTATGAGGTTAATTAATAAACTGATTAGTGACCCATCCAATGGCGATAAGCGATTACCTGTAATCACAACTTATAACACCTGTTGTAAATGTTAATTAGATGAGGGTCATAAACTTGTCAAAAACATGAAGACAGGTAGAATTATAGTATTTTCATGCGAAAATATTTTTACACTTTTCAAATTGAAGTGACAAAATTGATTTGAAAAACTTTTGTCATTTTGAAAACCTTTTCCTAAATGATGAAAATGACGAGTGCTAGCAAAATCACTGATGTAGTGATCAACCTTGGAAGATACAGATATCAAGTCAGTACCTTGGGCATGTTGGGTTTTCATGCATTCTTTACCCAAAAATTTAAAAAATGGGTAAAAATCATCTTTCAATGGCAATAACACCTCAATAGATGATTTAGACCATGTTTAAAGTCATATTTTGCAATTTAATGTTGCTCTCTATCTATTATAGTTTCTGTAATATGTAAAAATATGTCATTCAGGGGCCATTACTCAATTAAGATGTCAGTTGACAATTTAAGACATGTTGACTTATTTGTAGTTCTTCCTTGTGCTAAAAAACATCTTGCTATTTACAATTTCTCTCTATCCATTATCATTTCTGCACAAATGCAAAAATGGGTAAAAATCAGCTTTCAAGGGCAATAACTCCTCAATAGAAGATTTTGATCATGTCTTAGGTCATATTTTTCATATTAATGTTGCTCTCTATCTATTATAGTTTCTATAAAGTGCAACAAAAATGGTCATTCAGGGGCCATAACTCAATTAAGATGTCATTGGACAATTTTAGACATGTTGACTTATTTGTAGTTCTTCTTGAGCTTAAAAACATCTTTGCTATTAACAATTTCTCTCTATCATGTCTATCCATTATGTTTTCTGCAAAAATGCAAAAATGGGTAAAAATCAGCTTTCAAGGGCACTAGCTCCTATAAGGGGTTAAATGACAATATCTGCAACACTAACTTATTGTAGATCGAATTGTGCATGACATATTTGCTAATAACAGTTTCTCCCTATATATCATCATGATTATAGTTTCTGTAAAAATCTATGAAATTTTCTAAAATGTCTAGGGCAATCACTCAAAAATGGTTTCACTAAAATTTCATGGTAGGTAAACTTGACCTGTTGAAATTTATTTTAGGTAGCAATAATTTGGCCCAGTGCTGAATCCGGGTCCGTTCGCGCCCAATCACGTTCGCCCCCATGCACGTTCGCCCCCCTTTCACTTTCGCACCCTACACGTTCGCACCCAAAGTCCGTTCGCACCCTACACGTTCGAGCCCAATTTTTATTGGTTTTGTGTTTAATAATTTGTAAACGAGTTTTGGTAAGTTTATTGCTATAAATATATATTTTTTCATTGTTTCTAAATAAAGTGAGATTCTGACAAGGTTTTTTTGGTGTCATGGTAAATGTATTGCTATAAACATTTTTTTTTCATTGTTTTTAAATAAAGTGAGATTCTGACGACCAGTATTTTATTTTTGTGTTGAATAATTTTTAATCATGTTTTGGTTAGTGTATTGTTATAAATATTTTTTTTTCATTGTTTCTAGTAAATAAAGTGCGAATCTGACAACGTTATTTTGGTGTTAAATAAATGGTAAGCATGGTAAGTGTATTGCTATAAATATATTTTTTTTCATTGTTTCTAAATATAGTGAGATTCTGACAACGTGTTTTTTATGTGTTGAATAATTCGTAATCATGTTTTGGATAGTGTATAGCTATAAATATTTCTTTTTCATTGTTTATGAATAAAGTGAGATTCTGACACACATGAGATCAAAGGAGCCAAGCTGTTATTTAAAACAATTATCTTTCATGTCTTTTATTTAAAATCTTCAAAGTTTTACTCATACCAAGCTATATACATGCAGTATTTACATCAAAGCAAGTTAAAACAACCATGACAACAATCATGATTTTTAAACACTCAACAATAACACCAATTTAGGCTGTGTATAAATACCAATTAGCAGTAATCATACATAATTAACATTTAATAATTAATCATCAAATCAATTTAAAACAATATTTCATTTAAAAATTCCCGAATTTTTATTTATGAAAATAAAAATATTTTGATATAAACATCTATAAAACATCTAAAAATTTATCAGGTTTTTGAATAAAAAAAAAGGGTGCGAACGTGTAGGGTGCGAACGGACCTAGGGGGCGAACGTGTGGGGTGCGAACATGTAGGGTGCGAACGTGTATTGGGCGCGAACGGACCCGATACCCCCAGTGCTAGTGGTTTCAGCAGTTCTGATAAGATCTTATTTAACTGTTTATAAAGTATATTCAGATGAAAACTAAACTGGCCCCTTTAACAGAGCTAAAATAAGTGCTAGTACCTGTTTTGGTATATTCTTCTTAAGAATTTTGATCAAAGTTTGGTCCTGTTTAAGAAAATTTCCCAACTTAGGTTGTGGCTGTGTAAAGTGACCTAACCGGGCACTAGAGAATGGAACCGTGTATTCAAATTCATTATCATTTAACTTGGTTTCTTTTGTGTAAGCTGTTCGTGTCAAAATTCCTGTCACTCTATTCGTTCGTTGCGTCGGAAACTTCTTCAAAAAATTCTGCATTTTCTCTTTAGCCCATTGAGTTACTTCCCTTATAATTAATTGCTATATTCATACTGCTAATCCCGAGCCAGAACCGAGATACCCAAATGTTAGGGTACACGACAACTCGTACTTTCTGCAACTCGTACTCAACCACCTCGTACCCTATTTTTACCAGCTCGTACCCATGATTTATTTGATATTATTTATATACATAGTTGTTGTAACTTTCTTTCGTATATCATTATATAGTGATATGCATATTAAAATAATTATGAGTACACAATATACTAATTAGTGGTCATTAGTGGATAATAGACCTACAAAAATAGAATGGATTTGTTTAAATTAGAATAAACATCGAGAAATAAAAACAAAAATCGGTATAAATGCGGCATTATGAACATCAAAGGCCGTTGAGTTATACTTGAACAATCACCATCCTCACCGAAAAGAAAATGCATGGCTTAAACGTTGTAAAAACCAAGCTTTGGGAAAAATATATAAACTATGGTGAAATTTATGATCTTCTTCATTTGCAATCATGGTTCGTCCACTACTTTAAACATGCTTTTACCACTGTAATGTTGCCGTTAATTTGCAATTAAGCAAGGGCCGTTTCCTAAATGTCATCATATCTTTTTAGAATTGAAGTATAATTGTCATTTTATATATATATACCCTTTTAAAAAGTTTGTTTACAGTAGGCAGCTATTATTGTGAATGTGAATGTGAATATGAATATGAATATTTTATTGCAGAAGCAAACATAATGCTATAGCAAAATAATATTATATATAATGACAATAATGACAATAAACAAGCAGAGAACAACACAATAAGGTCATAACAAGCACAGAAGTAGAACTATTATGCAATGATAATTTGTGATCTTAACTTCCATGCCGCATTAAGAAATTTACACATGTATAATAGTCCCGGTATAGAAAGGTATTCATTATATAAATATATATATATACTAATACGAAAAAAAACCATGTCCATCGCAATATTCAATAAAAAATATCCTTTTCAAATATTCTATGGATCGAGCACACTTGAAGATTTTTTTAGATATAAATCCTATCAGTAGATCAACTACAAAATAATAAAAAAATGAAGCATTATAATGTTAAAAAATATTTTCTACTAACACAAAAAAAAAAGACATCGCAATATTCAGTAAAAAATATCTTTTTCAAATATTCTATGGATCGAGCACACTGTGACACTTGAGGATTTTTTTTTAGATATAAATCCTATCAGTAAACCAACTACAAAATAATAAAAAATGAAGCAATCATAATGTTAAAAAATATTGGGTACGAGTTGGTAGAAGTACGAGTTGGTAAAAATAGGGTACGAGTTAGTTGAATACGAGTTGCCGAAAGTACGAGTTGACATGTATCCAAATGTTATAGTCAAATTTAACCAAAAAAAATAGGCATAATTGTTCCAACTTTCCAATATCCAAATAGCAGTGTAAAGCCGAAGTACATGATACAAGATACAAGATACAAGATATTTTATTGTGCCAATCACGGCGCCCATTACTGAGCAGAATAATCATCGTAATTATTCATAATTATTATTATTATTTTTATATTATCTATCAGTTCTTGTTTTGTTTTAAATAGTTATGAAAGCATCTGCTGAAGGATCTCAATGACATACGTAACCTCTTTCTTCATTAACCAGATGAATTTGTTTTCATCATTAATAGTATTAAAATTTTTATGTTTGGATTTAATTTTATTTAAGTAATGGTAACGCTTCCCATCATAAGATGGACATTTCAAAAGGAAGTGTAATTCATCCTCTACAGCATTGTGGCATAACTTACAAATACGTTTGTTTGCCTCTTCTCCATAGTATCTACCTGTTTCAATTTCCAATGAATGGTCACTTATACAGGGCCTAATCTAGGATTCTGAAGAGGGAGAAGTGACTTCTCCTTCCATGAGAGAGAAGGGAGAAGTGGTCAACTTCTTGGAGAAGTGAGATTCCATTACCGTTTCGGTTGCATCGTGTTTTCAAGCTTATCACTAAGGAATTCAATAAAAGATGTACTTGCAGTTTTTTCATATGTTATTGTACACAATGGTTATATAGAAAGTTCTTAATAAAAAGGTCTAGACAATATATAGTTGATATTTATTTATTGATACCATAATGTGTTCTAAATAAAATTTGTTGATTGGGACATGAGGTAGTAGCCTAGTAATATTGTCAAGATTATGATGCATTAAATTCATGTGTATCTGCCTCAATTTATTTTTAAAACTTCAGAAAAATATGATGAATTTCACATGACTGGGAATTTAATTTATATCACCACTTGTCATTGTTTTGTAAAACATTATTGAATGTCCAGGACATTTATGTTAGTTGTAGTAAATTGAGATTATCGTTAAAGATTGTAAGTCTATAAATAAAAATATCTTTCAATCTCAAGTTAATTATCCGATAAAGAGCTAATTTCTATCATTTTTTAAAAAATATCATCCATATCAACGAAGTGGTCATGAGAAAAAATCCACTGCTGATCACAATCTGGTCGAGTGTCGTACGTTTGCAATCACATTATCTATCCATCAGCTGTCTTTCTACCTTTTATATTTCAATTTTTATTCAATGAATATAATAAATCTACCGTTAATTCCCACCCTTTACCTACCGAATAGTAAAATTGATCAACTTATAAGTTATAAGAAATTTAAACAATAACCGTTGTTGTCCCCTATTTCCAATCATCAGATAAGGTTCACATTCAAAATTAAATTTAAATTTTCTATAGGTTCTCAATTTTTTATTACAGTTTGATTTTTTTCTTTCATCATTAAATAAGTTAAGTTTCCAAATTTGTATACACATGTGTATGTAGTACTGTGCAATTTCTACTTCTTCTTCTACCTAGTGACCGCCTTCAACAAATTTAAAATTATGTTACAGGAGGATAACTTACAACAAGACATAGATTGATATATATATATAATATACAAACTAGAAATGGAGAAAAAAATGAAAATTACAGTTTGATGTAAATAGCTGAGTTTAATATTGTTGTTCTGAGATTGAGGATTTGAAAGAGTCTACTGGTGTGCAACTTATGATGTTATCAGGTAGTTTGTTCCAGTCAGTTATAGTTCTCGGAAGAAAAAGATTCTTTTCTATACTGTGTTTTGCAAGACGAAATTTGGAAACTGTTCAAATTTGAATGTCATGTCTGTCTTGTTTGTGGAATTAATCCATTGTTCTTAGGTATTGCATTCTTTTCGTGTTCTATTCTATACAGCATTACCAATCGTGAATCTTTTCTTCTGTCAGAGAGGCTGCGCCGTTCAATGTGATACTAGTACCAACGCTTGAGGTATTTCTGTATTTGTTTGTAACAAAACGGGCAGCTCTCCTTTGAACTTTTCAATGCTATCTATTTCTTGTTGTAAGTAACAATAACAATACGAATTTTACATACTGAAAAATATCAAAAATACGTCTCTAATAATTCAAGTAGTTGTCCGCATTGTTTAAGTACCAGAGTTCAATTTATCTGCTTCATGTTTGAAATTTATACTCGCATTAACTTTTCGTAGAATAAACGTTGTTTAGCTAACACACCCTATCTTAAAACTTTCAATAAAGATACACCCAACTCACATCCCTTCTGATCTGTCGAAGATGTATAAAACAGTTTAGTACCTTAATCATTGGTCAAACCTATGAAATAAACGAATGTCGATCAAAAAGAAACATCCATTTCTGTTAAATGTCTGTATTACAAAACAAGATAAAACTGTATAGTTATGCTATACCGAATAAAATCATTCGTATTTATAAGAAAAATGTTTTCAATAATCTTCGGTAGGTCAAGAATTTCTCAATAATGGTTTCTTTTATAATATTGCTTACATACTTTTATTTTAAATATTATCTTTGTATTTAGTCTGTGAATACTGTATGTTGTAGTCGGTTGCAAGAACTTGTATAACTCATATTATTTTGTTTTTCAGTAAATACGGGCCGACTAAAAATATTGACCAACATGCATACTTACTTCCTTGTCTACCTATTCAACAAAAGCATCACTATTTTCTGTAAAATGAATGTAAAGAGAGAACCCGTCGTAGATAGAGAAAGTCCAAAAAATAAGCAGCTTCACAAATATAAGTTAGAAAAAAATCCCTTTGATTTAAACAGTTCACCGTGTATATATGATTTCCATGCGTTCACCATGTATATGATTTCCGTGCGTTCACCAGGTATATGATTTCCATGCGTTCACCATGTATATGATATTTTATTGTGTGTCTTTTTATGTTGTAATGTTATACCACTGTTTCAGGTTAGGGTGAACATGGTGAAGGTTGGCGCCTAATAAAACGTTTAAACCCGCTGTATTTTTATGCACCTGTCCTAAGTCAGAAACATGTTGTTCAGTGGTTGTCGTTTGTTGGTGTGGTTCATAAGTGTTTCTCGTTTCTCGTTTTTTAGCTCACCGGGGCCCGAAGGGCCCCATGTGAGCTTATGCCATCACTTGGCGTCCGTCGTCGTCCGTCGTCGTCGTCTGTCGTCGTCGTCTGTCGTCGTAAACTATTTCAAAAATCTTCTCCTCTGAAACTACTGGGCCAAATACCTTCAAACTTTAACTAAATGTTCCTTAGGGTATCTAGTTTATAAATTGTATCCGAAGTTTTGATCCATCGACAAACATGGCCGCCTTGGCTAAAAATAGAACATAGGGGTCAAATGCAGTTTTTGGCTTATATCTCAAAAACTAAAGCTTTTAGAGCAAATCTGAAATGGGGTAAAATTGTTCAATTCGTCAAGATCTATCAGCTCTGAAATTTTCAGACGAATCGAACAACCCATTGTTGGGTTGCTGCCACCGAATTGGTAGTTTTAACAAAATTTTGCAGTTTTTTGTTATTATTTTGAATATTATTATAGATATATATAAACTGTAAGCAGCAATAATGTTCAGCAAAGTAAGATCTACAAAAAAGTTAATATGACCATAATTGTCAATTGACCCCTTACGGAGTTATTGCCCTTTAAAGACAATTTTACACAATTTGTTCAAGTTTGCTTACATTTAAAAATCTTCTCCTCTGAAACTACTTGGCCAATTACCTTCAAACTTTAACTAAATGTTCCTTAGGGTATCTTGTTTATAAATTGTATCCGAAGTTTGTATCCATCGACAAACATGGCCGCCATGGCTAAAAATAGAACATAAGGGTCAAATGCAGTTTTTGGCTTATATCTCAAAAAAACTAAATCTTTTAGAGCAAATGTGACATGGGGTAAAATTGTTTAATTGGTCAAGATCTATCGGCCCTGAAATTATCAGACGAATCAAACAACCCATTGTTGGGTTGCTGCCACCGAATTGGTAGTTTTAACAAAATTTTGCAGTTTTTTGTTATTATTTTGAATATTATTATAGATATATATAAACTGTAAGCAGCAATAATGTTTAGCAAAGTAAGATCTACAAAAAAGTTAATATGACCAAAATTGTCAATTGACCCCTTAAGGAGTTATTGCCCTTTAAAGACAATTTAACACAATTTGTTCATCAAGTTTGCTAACATTTAAAAATCTTCTCCTCTGAAATACAGGTGAGCGATTCAGGCTCTTGAGAGCCTCTTGTTATATAGATTAGACCGTTGGTTTTCCTGTTTGAATTGTTTTACACTAGTCTTTTTGGGGCCCTTTATAGCTTGCTGTTCGGTGTGCCAAGGCTCCGTGTTGAAGGCCGTACTTTGACCTATAATTGTTTACTTTTTACACATTGTGACTTGGATGGATAGTTGTCTCATTGCATGGCACTCATACCACATCTTCTTATTCATATATGATTTCCATGCGTTCACCATGTATATGAGTTCCATGCGTTCACTATGATTGTATTCACCATGTATATGATTTCCGTGCGTTCACCATGTATGATTTCCGTGCGTTCTCCATGTATATGATTTCCGAGCGTTCACCATGTATATGATTTCGAGCGTTCACCATGTATATGATTTCCGAGCGTTCACCATGTATATGATTTCCGAGCGTTCACCATGTATATGATTTCCATGCGTTCACTATGTGTTCGGGGGGACCCGGATTCAAGGTTTGAATTACAGTTAATATCAATACTGCATGTTGTACATGTTGATAAAGTGGAAAAAGGAGTCTAAACTTAATTATCTGAGGTAGTCATTGTATATTACATACTTCTATCGAAATCTACCTTTTGATCATTTTGCATGATGGTGATGTCAAAAATTCTATGTCTTCACTTTTAGCTGTATATGTCATATCAGTGACTTAAGAGTACAAACATACTGAGGGGATTTAAATTATATACACATATGCATCAGAAACGAGAGAAAATACGTTTTTTTTAAACGCAAGATAGAATTCAAAAACTAAAGGTGTAAACTTATATATGCATAAGAATTGAGAGAAAAGATGCTATATTTGTAAATGCCACTTTCGTTCGTTAATGCAGTTATCTCTGACATTCTAGCTATTCTACATTTAGTCGCGAAGAAATTGAAATCCGATGAAAAAAACGAAAAGTAGTTGGCAATTTAATTAGAATGGTCTGTGTTGAGGAATTTTCCCTATCAGCATCGATCCGGGAATCGATTGACTAAAGATCATTATGGAAATTCATTTACAATCACGATCTATCGTCTGCCAGTGCCGTGATTGACAGACGAACATTATATCGTTTCAAGAAATATTGATCAAAGACTAGTTATTGGCCATGTGCTATTTCCCAAATGAAACAAATTACAGAAAAATATCCCTCATCTAATAATATTTATTAAGTTGTAAGATCAATTAAAAAATCTCTGGTGGTAAATTGTTAATTCGTCGCTCCCTATCGGCTTTCGATCTCTATGTATATAAACAGTGACACAGTAAATAAGTTTTAATTTTAGATTAGATATCCTAACATCGATAAGAAGAATAGAAAAACCTCATCAACAAAGAGAAAAATCAATTGTAGTAAGAACTGTCTCTTACAATCGATCAGAAACATCAAAAGGAGCCATTAGACAACACGAAGTCGACGCCTCAAGATGACATCGAACATTGTCAATTGTGCATTGCAACGTTTTGTTATTTGTCTTCGTGTGAACAATGTTTAATCTAAATAGGATATGCTTGGTGCAGAATGTATTCATTGTCGACTTACAATGTATGGTATGATGCCGAAATATGAGAAGGAATTGTATGAATTGAGTTGATTGTTTGTTAATTACAGGCGAGAGTGTTGATACATGCTTTATTTGAATGCATCTTGCCTGACAAAACAAAAAGCATTGTCAACAAAAAAAATTACAAACGAGAGGCAAATGGATCCAATTTCATTTCTATATAGCCTCTACTGAACCTAAGTGGATTATAATTTGGGATTTTTTTTGCTACAGGAAATATAACTTCATTTACAAATCCAGAATAATTTAAGAATTTGAATAATCTACAATTGTTTTTGTTTACTAAAGTGGACCTACGGATTTTAAAACATACGATGGAACCATGGAAATGAAACGGAATATCTGTAATGTTTGCTTTAAATTACTTGCAATTACATATAAATATTGTCATTTTACACATCTCTAGCTATTATTTATCACCATAACGCACACCTGTGACAATATAATTTGCCTTTGGATATCTACAAAAATGTGTTGTCGACATGATCAAGACTTAAAACTTTGCTTTATTTAGATGAGTTTCTAGGAATTATTGGTCAACAGTCGATTCATCAGTCAATATCATTTCTACGGAAGTTTTCGTGTGTTGGAGCAAACTCACTTGCAATTTAGATAATTATCACTCATCCAAAAAATTGATTTAATACAACGGGGATGTAAACCTATATGGAAACTATTCGGAATCTATTTCAATTTTGAAATTAACATCAATTTAACAAAACAAAAACATAAAACAACGAGTTCTATCGGGACTAATATACCAAAGATCAATAATTGAATACGCAAGAACATTTATAATTGAATTTTAGAAAACAGTTTATTACAGTAGAGATTTCTTTCAATGTTGCAATGGTCATTAATTTTCTAATCCGATGAAATAGACCTGCGTCGTGGCATTACAGTTTACAGAGAAGGTTTCAAATTTATAGGTAAATGTCTATTAGTTGAGCGTTTTACACAGGATTCACAACATAAGACGGCTTCGCATCGAGTAATAGGATTCATTGTCATATTGAGGTGAGCTGAAAAGTATAAACTTTGACAATTAAGCCATATTTACAATAAGAAATATGCGTGCAACGAGAATAAAGTTAAAATACAGTTTTTTTTTCATTAGAGGACTCTCATTAAGAGACAAGTGAAGCTAACAAGACTTGCTCTCAAAGTAATGTTTAATTATCATGATTCGCTTTCAAAGTATTGTTTACTTAATAGGATCCACTTCCAAAGATAAATTTGTTTTAACAGGATACATTTCCCGAGACCAATTTGTATGAACAGGATACACTTCCAGAGATAAACTTGTTGAACGGAATTCACTTATAAATAAAGGCAAGACATATAATCTAAGAGTAGGTGAATAAACAAGGATGACTTCCAACGGTTATACAGACCATCAAAAAGTGACTATTGTAATATTGGGTGCACCCGGTGTAGGAAAGTCGTCGATAGTTAAACAATTTGTACACCATACGTTTACAGAGGATTATGAACCTTCAGATGATAAATCTTTTTATTTCCCTTCAGTAATTATCAACGAACACGTGTACGATTTAAAAATAGTGGACTGTCCTTATATTCCGTACTTTCCGTCTAATTCCTTGCAAGAATGGTCGGATTTTCGGGGTTTCAATCTTCGCATTGCTACAGCTTATGTCTTGGTCTATGATATTACTTCAGAGGAAAGCTTCAGTTATATGAAAGCTTTAAGAGAACAAATTCTGGATAGCCGAGACATGCACGATGTTCCTTTATTCATTGTAGGAAACAAATATGACTTAGCAGACGACCGAGGAGTCTCGAGGCGGGATGTAATTAATATGGTGAAAAAGCATCGAAAATGTATACATGTTGAATGTTCGGCTAAGTATAACTGGCATATAATATTTTTGTTTAAAGAATTAATGAAAGCAATAGATCATATTGATTATGGTCACAAACCGACAGCAGTGCGTGTTCAGGATGCTTTGCGTAGAAACAGGTGCTCGATAATGTGAGTATTCGCGTGTACACAGACTCTTTTGCATATTTCATGTTCACCAAATGAGATTGGCTGTTCTGTGCTAGAATATAAGTGAACATTTTCGTTATGTGCATACAACTGCTACATGTAATCAAAGAAAAACTAGACACAGGTAAAAGACGTTCATTGTTCTTCAATAATAAAATAACGAAGTTATTTTTCATACTTATGTTTTTTTAAAACCTAATCATATGGCAAGCCTTTTTATTATTTATTATGACAAGCTTTTTAATTACTATTTATTATGGCAAGCCTTTTTACTTTTTATTCTAACTTCAAGATATCTTATAAAGTTTATAAGATATCTTATAAAGTTTATAAAATATCTAATAAACTTTATAAGATATCTTATAAAATTTATATGATATATCTTATAAAATTTATATGATATATCTTATAAAAACTAAATTATATAAGATATCTGATATAATTGTATGAGATATCTGATATATTATATGAGATATCGTGAAGTTAGAATAAACAGTAAAACGGCTTGCCATATAATCAACATATATTCTCGGTTTTGATCTATTTTAGATTGGGTTCTCCGACGGAAATCGGTTTATTAATTTGGGGCAGCACGGTCTGCTTGCGTCTCCAGCTGTTTCCGTACAATAAGAAAAGAGCCGTTCAACCAATATGCTTTTCAAACAAGAATGCAAGCGTTGTCGTGCTAAGTATACTCCCCACGCGTAATTCAAGTATCAGAAAACAGGATATATCCGGAAAGTGCACACATGTTACAACTCATCACTGTTGAGTTACTGACCAAATATTAAGTAATTCTGTTAGTTCGTATTGGAGAAACTATTGACGAAAAATTTTATGTTCATTTAACATATTGAAAATATTCAATATATCGACAAAACGAATGTATGCATGACATGTCCGAAAAGTGCCCACACGTTACAAATCATCACTGTCAAGCTGCTGACCAAATGTGAAATTATCCTGTTAAGTAGTTTCTGAGAAAAGTATTATGAAAATATTTGTTGGAAAAACGGATTAACGGACAAAGTGGTCACAATATAAAAAAAACACTCCCAGAGTGGGTGTACAAAATTTCAAAGTTCTTTATTGACGATTTTCACTTTTGCCGTTAGGAAGATATGGTCCTTCATTGATTACGATATGACACTTTATGTCGTTTCCATACAATTATTTGTGAAAATAAGAGGCGGAAGTTACCAAGGAGACAATCCAAACTCATAAGTCGAAGAGAAACGGACAACGGCATGGCAAAATAGACCGAACAACACGAACCCCACCATAAACCCGTGGAGATCACAGGTGCTACGGAAGGGTTAGCAGGTCCTGCTCCACATGTTACATCCGTCTTTGGTAGTGCTATAAATACATTGATAAGTTTTACCAAGTGATTAGACATCACGTAATAGAGGTGTTGAACCGTTTATACCCCCTCCCCAAATGGTTTGCATGTTTAATTTGTTAATTCTCATGACAAAGTAGGTTAATTTCGATATTGACGACTTTCACGTTTGTCGATCTAGAGTTGTGATCTTCGACTGCTTTGGACATGATCCTTGATGTTGATTTCGTGCGATAACTTTAAAATGATTGATCCAATCCTTTTCCAGATTTTAAATGTAGCTTCTCTTGACAAATTGGAGGTAAGCATTTTCGCTTTTGCAGTGCAGGCCCTTGATGTCCTTAACAATGATGCTAATAAATGTTAGAAAACACGGTTAGTTGTTCTTTTCAGGGGCGGATTCAGGAGGGGACGTGGCGGGCGTGCGCCCCCCTCCTAAAATTTGCAAAGCATAGGTTGTCCTCAGCTTAATAAAAAATATTTCGATAATTTTACCTCCAAAAAATTTTAGCCTCGCTCCGCTCGGCGAACATTTTAGTTTGCGCCCCCTAACCTAAAATCCTTGATCCGCCTCTGCTTTTGGCAGCCTCTTGTTAAATACTGGTATGTTTTAAACGTAAAAACAACAAGTCCGTGACTCCTCTTACAAATCCTTCTACTCTGAGTTATTAGACATACATCAAAACTTGTTAAAAGTAAAATAACAAAAATACCGAACTCCAAGAAAAATTCAAAATCTTTTGTAAGATTTCTTGTGTCATCAAGGAAACCAAAACAAAGTTGAAACCATATTAAGTTCATCAACACATTATGTGTTTCACAGAGACGTGATCATCTACTGGTAATTTTTCAGTCGAAGGAATATGAATGAAAGTATCAGAATTTGTAATATCATTCAAGTATCTCGATTTTGTATAAAATTTGTAACCTCATTGTTTTACGTATCTCAATTTTGTAGAAAGTTATTTTCAAAATGTGTTTTATGAAGGTCAACCTTCAGATCATACTTTTTTTTGTCAAAGTTAAATTCAAAATTATTTCTATAAACTTTAAAAATCTTTATAAAAGCATGAAGAAAGAGAGTTGTTGGTGACTTAACTACACGCACTTTTTTAGACTAGAGAATAATATAGTGGTAAAATATAAGGAATAGAGAACAGTTTCGCGGGGGGGGGGTTATATATGGAAATATAGATTAGAGAAAAATCGCCTAAAAAATCAAAGAACACAGAAATGAAGATCGGACATCCAACCTTCATATCTCTACCTTGCGTTTCCAGTTTCACTAGAAGTGTTGTATTCGGTATTGGTTTCTAACGCGTTTTCAATTTCACCTTTTGTAGTATAATTATGTCTACTATGTATTTTTGTAAATGTAAGATTTGGTATTATAGAGACAAAAATTGGGAAGGTAACACTAAAAGGATATTAAACATAAAAAATAAAGAAATGTGATCTGATTGGCGCAGAGACACTATCCACCTGAGACCGACGTGGATGTAAACAACCATACGGCGCATGTCTTTTTAGGACTTATTGTGTTTGGATTTTTTTTTTATGGTTTCTATATAATCAACGTATACCCTACGTCTTTTTCATTCTTTGGTAAACTGATTAAATGAATTCAAATTATCAAAAAATATAACCTGTGCGATCTTCTTGTCTGACTTTAAGGTAGTATATAGGAGTCTTCCGCCATCTTGGATTGTAAAATATCAGTATACAAAATAGGTCTAAATTCTCAAAAAAGTCAGCAAATTTCGATGCAGGAATTCTATTTACTAATAATGGAATTTTTATGTGATTTTATCCTATAATAATTTAATTTTGGATGTAACGCGTTTTCTGATTGGCTGACGTTGTTTTGTTTATCAGCTCATAGACATAATTTTGTCATGTGATCGTGACGTCATCAACGTTTTTTCATGGTTTACTACGGTTTAAAATGGAATTTAGATTAAAATTATAAGAAATGACTGTAATATTTTTTCTGTCTATTCGAAATAACATAAAAATGTGGTGCACACTTTAAAATAATCCGCTACGCGGGTTATTCAGTGTGTACCACATTTTTGATGTTATTTCTTCATAGACAGAAAAAATATTACAGTCATTCCTTAAATATATAAACTACATTTTGGTAGCTAACTTACTTACTGCCCTGGACATCATTGGCGTGTAGGGCAGCAAAGAAGATCTTCCACTTTTGTCGGTCGTTGGCAGTTTACTGTAGAGCGCCTAATGTCTGTTGGTGTTGACTAGCTTCTGCATCTACAGTTCGCCTCAATGTCATTCGAGGTCTTACATTTTGGTAAAGTATGATAACATTATATCATTTTTCATGTAAAATCCCATATACGAACTTAAAAAGGAAATTTATGCTTACGGTAACAAAAAGCTTAAAAAGCGAAGTTATTGTCTATCAAACAACAGTTTCCAGTAACTGTCATACGATCGATTGGACGTTAAAAAAAAGATTACATCCCCGATATCATATCTACTTCTTTAAAATCAATAAAGTGTAAGGGAAAAAATTCTAAAACAATCTTGTGGAAATCTATATTTCGAACACCAAGAATACCAACTTGAATTTCCAACAAAGACTCTTCGAGTCAAATAATAACAGATAATCCATGGAGCCTTACTTAGGTAATTGGATATGAATACCAGTGAAAAATTATATATTGGAGGCTTTTGGTCAAGCTTGCCATGAGGGCAATGCAAAATCAATATTTCAAAACCATTTGTTCAGGTCGTGGCCTTTTATAGCTTACTATGCGGTATGGTTTTTGCTCATTGTTAAGGCCTTACGGTGACTTATGGTTGCTAACTATTACGTCATTTGGTCTCTGGTTGTGATTGGCAATCATACCACATCTTCCTAATTTTACATGTGTACATAACATTGATTCAAGACTGAAAATAGCAGACATACTAATGACATTAAAAATAGAAGGGGAAATAATGATTTTCCATGGACGAGAATGGGTGAAAGGGATTATCATTCTCTTACATATACATGTGAACTCTTAAGCACTAACGAAGTGTGCAATCCCCCGAAGCAATTTCCATAGGAAAAGGGCAAAATGAGTACTGTTGTTTGTATAATAAAACTATAAATAAAAACAAGAAAATAGAATAGAATGATAGAAACGTTTTGAATATTGCAAACTTTATATAATGGTTCACATATGAAACAAACAAACAAACAAATGAAAAGGGGGCCAAGGTGTAGTTAAATAATATTAAATCTAATTTTATAGGAGACCTTAGTCTATTCTTTAAGAAACAATGACTGTTGAGATAAAAAAAAAAACACAAAGGGAATTATTGGAAAAAAAATACATTCATCTATAAAGAAAAGTAAGCATCTGACGTTTGAACGATCGTAATTTTAATATTTATTGATTAAAATGTTTTTATTATAATTCAAAAATGTACAATTTTTGAAAAAGCTGATTTACATAACATCATGTGCTTTTTTTTAAATGAAGGAATTTGATACATTTTGTATTTATTAGTATTAAATTTTACCTGAAGCAGAAAAAAATCCATTTTTGAACAATTTTTCCTTTTTGTAAACACAAAACCAAGGATTTGTATAGTACTATACAAATCCTTGACAAAACTATGATATATTATTATATGATATGAGTGCTATTTCATGACATCTGTTTAAATGACTACACTTTGATAAATATGATTTACATCCCTTTTATTAACCATGTTTACACTTAAAGTGAACTAATATTGATGTTTTATTATTACAATGGGAAAGAATGTCACTCGAAGGTGTGAATATGTTCTAAATTGGCCAGACAATACTTGGTCATTT